ATCAACCGACGTACCAGCCGCCCGAAGGGGTTTATTTACTAAATAATAGCCATAAAGACCGCGTTCTGTGAATATATCTTCTATGCCACTTTCCTGAAGTTTCTTGGCCATTGCAGCTGCAAAGTTTAATGCCATATGAAATCCTCCGAATAAATCATCATGTTCTGAGACTCTCCAGGGTATATCCGCTGAATTTCTTTTGCCGTTGTATACAAAGCAAAATCATGGTAAGGCATTTTTCGAATGAACAACATCTGCCATTTATTCTTTGAAGCATTTTTTACTATATTTTACAAAATCACGATTATTTTTCGTTTTTTCAGCAACCGTTACCTTGGTGACGGTTAACCGATCAACCGAAATTAACACATAGTAAGGGACTGCCAAGGTTACATCATCAATCCAATATTTTTTTATTTGGTTGAGCAGTTCTGGATATATTGCTGAAAAGCTCCTATCACATAAATATTGGTGCTTCCAAAGGCACCTCACCGCCTTAAATGACAAGTCATTAACCCCACAATTTGAGACTACACCTAACGATGATATCTGTTTATCAGGCTATCATAATCTCATGTCATAGCATTTGAGTAACGGGATTGCTACGAGGTCGACTTTTTAAGGCTTCTCCTCCTCGACCACTAAAGTTAAAGTGGGATGAACTTTTTCTTGAAATATTCTCTTGGCTCTTTAATTTTGTATGATTTCCCACTTTTGCCTTGCTTTTCCGCCTATGAAGTCTCCATTATATTGCCTGAACCTTCAAAATTCACTGGGAAAGTTGATTAGCGGTTTTTTGTGTGATGTTTTTTTGCGCAGATTGTCGCGACTTTGAAAACAGTGTAGCTCGGAGCTGTGGAAGACATGCAAGAATAAGTCTAACCTGCGTAACTGACGGGTTTGGGTGCGGAATTTGAGTTCGGATTCGACAGCCGTTTTCATGACTCCGCCTCTTGAAGCTTCTAAGCCCGGACAAAATTGCCTATGGCTACCTCAAATGCCAAAAAGGATTTGAGTAAGGGTATTCAGGGTTGAAATAGATTGACGCGGATTACAGATTGGCTCTGACGACGGGCGAACGCTGGAAATGTTCGCTTTACAATTTCTTTATGGTGGCCAATTCACATAATCGACTCGGTTGATAAAACCAAATCAGCAGCACCAAAGTTTCCTGAGAGACGTACCCCCTATACTCACAGAATCAGGGAATACAAATGATGAACTGAAATTATTTCGGCAAACTCTCTTAAGAGCACAACTTGTGACCAATTTCCTCTATCTGATCCATGACACTACTTTGTTTCAAAGTGAATACACTTGACCATAATAATCTGGCCAGTTCATGAATTTACCAGTCTGTATAAATTCTAACTCTCTTGCGTTGTTTTCTTTTGTTTTTAGGACTCTACTTTTGCAGCTTTTATCTCGGAAAGGTATGAATCGTACTTCTTGGTCGTTTTTAATCTCTTTTCTTAAATTTGAGCGAAGTATAGAGAATGGTCATGACTTTTCAACCGAACTGCGTTATCTTAAGGGGCCTTCGAGCAAGTTATTATAGTTCGATTTTCGCTTACAATCATCGGATGTGGTGTGTTTAGGACACAACTGCATAAGAATCGTGTCGTCTAAATGCTAATTAAGTCAACTCTGCGAGGTCGTAGCTGCCATCAATATTAAATGAAGAAAGTTGTGTACAATATTCGATTAATATACTCAATCGCGAATGTACGTGAAAACGGTGTCCACACGTTTAACGCAATCGCAAGCGCAGTTCGGGGAAGCTTTTTTTTTCTTTTTTTCTGAAATAGCCACGGAGACGAGGCTCTGCCGCATAACATTTCCAAAAATAAACATTAGCGTGACTACTTCTTCTGCTCAAAGCAAAATGAAATTTGAGCCTACGTAGCTTGAGAAACATTTGTGAAAAAATTAGATGTGTTAACTAGAGCGCTTTTTGACTGAATGTCGAAAAACCAAGACCAAAGTAATCTCATTAGCCATTCAGATAAAAAGAAATATCACGAGCACCAAGTGAGAACGCAAAGTACAAACAAGCAAATTGACCGAAACTCCAGAAAACGCGAGTGGCAAATCGCGATAAATTTTCATGTTATGAATCTGATTGTTTGATATGCTGGCGCGATTTTGTTTTGGATCAATCAAATAGCAAAGTAAAACAAAACCAAAGCAATTTTGAATTACTCTGGACACTCAATTGAAAAAATTTTCTCTTCTATGTCATAAAACATACCTTTTCTGGTCAAAAGTCAGCTCCGGTAGCTCGGAATTATTACAGAACTTAAGGAGAGACGATTTTGCGACGCGGACGGCGAAGAGAAGAAGAATAAAACTAATTCTGGCGCACTTTGGCGCCAATGTATCGACAGTGAGGTCTCCATTTTAGCACTTTAAACCAAACTTTGCTGACCATAAAGTTGTAGTGAGCATCAGGAATGAGAACTTTTAACTTCCGGCTGCCGTTCACGTCTCAAAACCGTTTGTGCTGAAGCTCCCTTTTTTGTGTTACCTTGCGTTATCCCTCATTCTGGCACTTGATTTTGCATTGCATCGGTTCACTAGTGTGGAATACAAACGCAAGCGCAAATGCAGGTGGGGGCAAATGAAACTTTTTTCACTTCTTGTGCCGATGCTGGTGTTTTTGTTTCGATTTTCGTTTGGCCGGTTCCTATATGTGTTTCCATGCCGACTAACCTTCGCCTTCAGGCGGTAAGTGGTGCCAAGATTTTCTTTGTGAATTAGTCAATTAAATCTAAGTGTTCTATCGCCTTATCAATTTGACAGGTTTCTGACTGAGTACTGTAAGAGCGGGGGATTTTCAAATCTGGACCTGATTGACAATCTTGGATCCGCCATGCTCTTAAGCGATCGACTAACGTTTCTTGGTAAGTCCAGACTTAAAGATTTTTTCGGTTATATGTCGATAGAGCACCGATGACGAATATGACTACGTTTTTCGTTGATGTGTCGCGAACTTTCCGATGGAGTTTGGGTGCTTACTGGTTATAAACTCTGTTTACTTTGCCATTTTGTTTCTCTAATTTTCTTTTTTCTACAGGGAAATATCGCGAGTTTCATAAGATGTACGAAGAAGGCAATTTTCATGAAGCTGCCAATTTGCTGATTTCTTTGCTGACATCAAAGCTCGCTCCACAAAGGTGAATCAAATACTAGCACTTCTTTATTCTTCCTGCCTCTTGTCAACTTAAGCAAAGGTAGACTGCGTTGTGTAAACCCACTTACAAGAGGAACTAAACTGATACGAAACATTTTAATGCACCAAATTCACTCTATTATTATTTTCACTCAATATTTCTTGTTTTTATGACTGTTACTCAGTGATTACATGCTTCAACTCTTTTGGCTCGGTCCTGCTCATGTTTGGCTATTGTTCAGCGAAGCCCGGTTCGTAGTCGACTCGTGTTCGGTTCGTGTTCGGTTCCTGCAGAGCTTGTTCTCGGCTCATGTACAGCTGGCATTCAAGCAGTGTCTGGCTCGTATTCGGATCATGCTCAACTCGTTTCAAGCTCATACTCGGCTCAAATTCGGGCTTTGCTCGACGTGTCCAGGCTATGCTCAGCTTGTAAACGGTTTATGCCTGGCTCGTTCTCAGCTCGAACACAACTTGAAACCGTCTCTTGTTTGGCTTCGATACTTTACCCGCTTGGCCTAAATTTTAGTGAAGTATGAGTTTGTAATCTATGCAAGAGAAGGGCTTAGGAAGAGTCCTCTTGTTCTGACCC